AAAAAAAAACCTTGGATCCTGTTGTGTAGAGCACTTGATTAGGTTATTCTCTCTGGGAGCTAAATTTGGGGTAAGTGCAGGACAACTGCTCTTCTTATCCCAAAGTTATTCAAGGTCTTTCTCGCTCCCAGTGCTCATGAATATTTCCCCTGGCAGCGGCATAGCTAATTCTGAATTTGGCGTGTTGAAGTCCTCTTTTGTGGACTTCCTAATGCGAAGGAACACAATTGGCTGAGGAATTGATAAGTGGCACTTAGGAAAAACTTGTGAACAACGTCATGAGCGCTCAAAGCAAAAACTGAAACTCTGATGCTCAAATACCATTTTCCAGAAACATTTTGTGATTTCCTTTAAAACCCTTTTCTCTTACTAGAAGAAAATTGGGGCTCACCTGCAAATCGTAGCTCCATTTGGTCTATAGAAATATGTGAGAACAGGTAATCGACCTCTTGAACGAAAACGGCATGAACCCAAGAGGATGCTTTTGTTGGCAGCTACAGGTACCCAAAGACGTTCGGGATATGTATCACAACACTGAAAACAACTTCTTCTTCGTAGCAAAGAATAGGTTCAACAGGGAAGAGAGGGATAACTTACACCATAGCCCTTATTGAGATCACTTTCGACCCATGCACTATCAATACCTTGCCGAGTGAATTCTACAGACCAGTCCAACCGAGACCATCCACGAGCATCTTCCGGAAGATCGCGGCTTTCAAATGCCAGCAATTCGTTTACATTAACTGAAACCATTCATTCTGTAGAATCAAGGAAGGCTACCAGAGCCATTAGTGTAGTGTTCTGTCCGTTAACTCATTTTTTGACTCATGATAAATCACTTTTACAATTCATAATATAAACGAAAGCAGCGTACCCGTTTTTGAGCATTTCAACAGCGTTTCATAGAGATCTTGACAGATTTTATCACGAGGTATAAGAAGATTAATGACCTGAAACCAGTAGGGATATAATGAAGGCAGTAACTAGGTAGGTACTTCAGGTTCAGTTCGCCCATAGGAGGGAGTAAGAGAGTTAAGAGACATTGGCAATGTCTCCTAACCCTCATATCCTTCTAGTGCGTCATATTTCCGCTTGTTCGATCTGCGGACCTCACACACTTACCAGAAAATGTTTGCATCGAATGATGAGAGGACAACCAGAAATTGAAAGAGGACCACGCTCGACACTACCAATCAAGCCATTTGCTACCTAAAGTGGGAATATTATAGGAAATGGCCAATTCCAACGCTGAAAATACCACCAGTGATACGAAGGTACATTTGCTTTCATGATTCCAAAAAAACCATATTTGGATTCGCTCTAGTTCGGATAAGCCTTTCCCTCTTCAAGGGTATTCCGCAGATGGAGCTGCCCTTGTTTGACTTACAAATACTCTTTTGTTAGATCCTTCAATATCAACATTTTCTTATCAGCCATCAAATTACTACAACAGGATACAGGAAAGCGTGGGTGAGGAAAGGCGGGGAGATAGGGGAGGAGTGGGCAGAGGGGGAGGAGGGGGAGAAGTAGGAGAAAGAATACAGTAAACTCATTGTCAGGTTCAAAACAAGGTTGCTTTATAGAGTTGCTGAAGATGAAGAAATAATCCAATGAAAAATTTGAAATACTAGAGGAGTTCTCTTTCACGACATAGAATAAGTTCAACAAGTAGAGAAATATAAACAACAAAATTATGGGCGTCTATCAATCACACCACTACGCGTGAAAGCTTTGGCTTACATTCATAACTGTACAAGCGCCTTAAGCTTACTTAGACTGTAAAATGAGATCTGGACTAGGGCGGGTAATCTCCCGTGAAAAGAACTTACCCAACGTTCCTTCGTTCCATCTTCTGAGCGAAATATAATATGGGAAGTGGTTACATGTATCGTCCCAACAATATTCGGTTCGACACCCAAGCGATCCACCAACTGCACTTTATCCACCTGAACAACGATGGATCCGTTTGTTCAAGATTTAGAGTATACAATTACCTGAGAGAAAAAAAAACTTGGAGAAAAAGGTTCTAATAAAAAAGATTTTTACAGTTTTTCAATTATTTAACTAGAATTAAATGAACTTGAAAACCAAAACAATAGATACCCCTGGCCAACGTCCTCTTTGAAAAGCCCAGAATGCCACACTTCCCGTAGGATAGTCTGATTCCGAACGAAGTATAGATACTGGGAACCGCTTACCTATTCAGTTACATGCACTGACTTCCAAGGCTCGTCAGCGCCGTACATCATTACCCCTTAATGACTACTCCCACAAACTTCAAAAGTCCTAGCCCCTTTGGGCTCTGAAAATCGATAAGTAAAACTTATAAAAACAGTTACTATGAAACCGCCAACAGGTGAAATTGAAAAGAAGAAAAATTGCAGAATTTCAAACTTGCTGGAATGGAGCTGTGGTAGTTGCAACGAATACATCATTAGGATTTTGGGATTTTTTGGCCATAGGCGACCCTTTCATACCAGCTGAATGCTAGCTACTATATGGATACAGTAATTCCACCGTACCCACCTTAATAAGAAGTTGTAGCGAAGACGCTAGCTCGCCATCCGAAAATCGTCTTTCCTTTTTTACTATCGACTCATATAAACCTGATATTTTATCTCTCAACAACGAGCCAGCGACGGATATATCCTCTGTATATGCTGGATATGAGGAGTATGTCATTCCTCATCAAAACCCTTAACAACCAGTGAATAAAACAAAAAGCAATGGGGAAATAACCGCTGTTTCCTCAAAATCACGTAAGATTCGAGAAAGAAGAAGCTGAATGACGAGAAGGATCGCAAAGAGGTTAATCATGGTCCGAAATCTGAAGTGAGTCCTTGTCGAGCGCATAGGATGCAATATCGTTGAAGTGGGGTCAATAAACAGAAATCAACCTCAAAAGGATAGGTTTTAGTAGTAGCTGGCCCAGGAGAGTCTGTTGAGAAAGAAAATAAATTTCTGAAGAGATCGTGACATTGGGCCAGCCCCAAGGTATCATAAATCGCCTACTATTCAACGTCTGTGGAAGAGGAGACAGCTGAACACGACAAAGACGGCTTAGTGGGCATGCTCGAAACACTTGAGAACACCAGAACATCTCCGCTGCTTTGGCGCTGCCCGTGTCGAAAAATTTCATGGGAAATATCGAATTTCATGCGTCATTCCCCCATCAGAACGAGCTCACCCAGGTTCCCCGCCTTGTCCGGCTCTAGTTGCCTGGAATGCACGCACATACTTTATCACAAGTGCAACTGAGAGCCATTGGGAGAAAGAAATTCCCAAAAACGAGAGGTTTTTTAGAAGTCAGAAAAGGGAACAACTTTTGCAATGATCCACAATGGCAAAATAGGAAAGTCCTTGCTAGCTGCCCAGGTGGGTATTGGCAAGGACATTTCCTGAGATCATTCGATTCCCCACGATGGAGCTAGAGCTTATAGTTTTTAAAATGGCTATTTGACTAAAAATGAGCAGTTTCTATCAGAATGACACTTAATGGTAGATTTGGCAGAATTATCCTTAGAAATGATAGTTAGATGAACAGCCAGCATATGAAGTTAGAAACTTAGCGAATAAACGGAGAGGGACGGAATTGCATTGGAAAATCGAATATCTATTATACCAAATGCCCAAGCCAGATATGGATAGAGGAATAAAGCAGTAAAAACGAATAGAGTAATTAATGAAGCGTTTATCCGACTGAGGCATAACCAAGCATATGGATTGGCTGCACTTAAGATAAAGGGGAAAATCTTCTCAGAGTAGGAAGGATTTGAGAACGTAGAAAGCTAGGGAAAAGGGAAAGGGAAAAACTCATCAAACAACCAAAATCCTTGTACTAACGATAAGTAAGTGGAGCAGGAGCACGATCCAAGCAGTAGCACAATCCTCATGAATAGCGGAATAGGTGATTTTAAACCATGTTTGCCCATTCGACATAACAACCCAGTATCGGTACTTAAGGGTCCAAACTTAGAGCAAAGATCAATTCAGTTGACAAATGACAATCTATGGAAGAGGTTCCTGCCCAGGTAGTGATGAAAGGAAGGGATGGGGAATGTACTGAGTGTTTCGTGATAGGGCCTAACGAGGCGAGTAATGGAGGCTGCCGTAGACGACATCTATCTCCACATTCTGGTTGCGGCTTCCTCATCTGCCGATTACTTTTTATGGGACATGAGCGAAATGTTCTCCAAGAAGATTCCTGTTAATCTCGTTTTCACTATGTGAACGATGAAATCACCAAGGGATGCTCTGGGAATTATTGCTCAGCCAAATCTTCGACTCCGGGAGAACAAAGCTGTTCATAAGTAGACGAAGTAATGAAAGTAAGAAAAAAAGTGGAAATAATTCATAAAATAAATAAGAACTGGAATAAGCGTGCCCAGAGGTCTGCCAGAATTATTAAATCATAGCGCCCTCCTATGAGAGTTCATTCCCCGGAATTAATTCGGGTCTATGGTAAGAGAGAAACCATGAACCCATGCCACTCACGGGAGAAGGGCAGCAGCTGTCCTACGCACAAATCGAAACCTCCGTAATCGGGAAAGATCTCAGAAACCTACAATCATTCCATTCTCAAAGCAGGTGACTACAAATTCAAGAAAATCCAATTCTCATTTGTATTTCCCACAAGTTTCTCACAAGTGGACTACAATATCCCCAAATATCCCCAACTACATTTAAGCTCCAAGCCAGTAGAGCACTCCTACGAGCACATGTTGGGCAAAAGTTCTCCAATGGGGAAACTTTTTACGATATTCGTTTTTATGTGGTCAGCTGCACAACGTCGAGGCCCCCATGGAGATTCCATATATAGAAAGAGCACTTTTTTCTTAAAAACTAACAACTGCTTGCGTTTGCAGCCAATCTCCCTCAATAACTCAGAATTTCACCCCTGCCGCTACGAATCGCCTCTCGATTCGATAATGTGTTGGTAATTCTCCAAAATCAACCAGTAACCAAAGAGAATTTCTATTTTAGACTCGAATTCACTGGCAAGCACGAAAAACGAGAATTGTGGGAAGAAGTAAGGGCGCATAAAACGACAAAAGGACAAAAGCAATTTGAAGCAATTTTGAAGAACTTGAGGAGCAGCATGAAGTAGCAATATCGATGAACAATGGGAACGCATGGCTGGCTCCTCCTCTACGAACCTGGAATGTAACCATGTTTGCTTCAGTTGCCCTTCTAAGCGATTTCTTCATAGCAGGGGCCAGGCACTTTGTGTTCCAAGAAAATATGCATCAACCAGTTGAGAATTGTGTATAAGCCTACCACCGAATCGAAAAGGACCAATATGGCAAGGCTAGGCATGCAGTGGACGGGAATCCCAGCATTCGTTGAACGCGAAAGGGCCAATTAACTGAACTCGTAGCAGTTATCCACTCATATGGCATTCAAAAGAATTATGTGGTATAAACCTTATGAAGGCAAGTCGTCCCCTCACTTCCGATTACGACTTTCTCGTACTACCACCAGTCGAGGAGGACAACACTCCCTGGAAGAAAACAACGTCGAAGATTGGATGACAGCCCACGACGAAACTTTGCCATGCGCTGGGCACAGAAAACGCATTAGGTCGACGTGGGCCCCTTATGTGAAAAACCTGCGATCGATGCCAAGCTCTCCAGCATATCCTGAAGGGCGCTGTGCAAATAAGGAGAATCTTTGCTAAATGTAGTGAACACTAATCCAATCTAGCCCTGAAAAAGGGGCTTATAGACGTCTTGTGAGGAAAGCATTGCGGCAGAAAATCGTATGGAGTCAAGAAGTAATTGAATCCAGTAAGAAGACAGTATCCAGAGAGCTGAGGGTGACTCGGATTCAAATTTGAAAACCTTCATTTGATCTAGCAATGTCACGATATCACATTACTACAAGTCCAGAGAAGCAGAACGAATGTTAGCCGGAATGAATTGATGGGATGACATGATGGGATGCAATTCGGCACTCGGGAGCGCTTCCTCGCGTTCTCCTTCAGAATGTCCTTGTGTCGGACGCCAATGCATTACTAAGGAAAGTCATTTTTGAAGAATTGTCCGAAATAACGCAATTTACGGATCTCTCCATTCAAACGAGAAAGAAACGAAGACGCTTTTTCGAATTTACTATCGATCATACGAATATGAATAGGGATGGAGAACAACCAAAAGAGCTAAAAGAATAGAAACCAATGTAGAAAACAAACCAGAACGATAAAAAATGGCTTAATGGCTATTAGGTTCAGAACGAGAATTCCCCAGTAGGGCCTAAGCAAATGAGGCATAGAGAAGGACCAGATGGGTGAGAGGGGAGGAGAAAAGGCAGAAACGTCAAATAAAGTACGAGAGCTGGCAGTAAGAACTCAGCGATAACGAGTCTGAAACCAGACGGCTATGGTCGAAAATAAAAGAGATTCAATAGGGAGCAAAATGACAAGAACGGAAAGAGGAAAAAACAAAACAGCCAAAAAAGAGAATGTTGCAAGAACTAAATTTGGGAAAAAGTTCAAAGTACAGAAGTACAGAAAGATACAGAAGATTAGATTGACTCGTGAGAAGCAGCGAGATGGAAAGTAACCGGACAAGTTGAAAATGCAATGGTGAAACTAGGAAAGGGGAAAGGAAAGGAAAGGCAGAACAATGGTGAGCGGAGAGGGTTGACAGATGAGAACAACGATAAGCAAGTAGGGAAACGGAGGAAAAAGTGTTTCACATACATATAAATCAACCTAAAAATGGAAATCCTCACAACTTCCGAAAGCACTAATCGTTTTTTGATATTCTACGTCTCTCCAGTCAGTAAACGTAAGGAAGGTATGGAATAAATGCCTTCCAATAGCAGTTTACCACAGAATGTTTTCCGCCGCTTCATAGGTACAAAGCTATCAGCGCCCTTAAGGACATGAATAAGTCAGTAGGGAAAAAACGATCTCGAGATACGCCCATCATTCACTATGATGGGTAATCCTTCGTGTTAGAGAAAGCAAAGACATACTGCATTCAAAGAGCACGTGGTCAGCGCGTAGTTGTTAGGAATGGCTTACCATCTCCTAGTCATATTTTCCAACTATCTTGGCCACTACGTGATTGAAGAAGTTAGTCATACACTGTAGTCGTGAACACTTTCAGCGTCTCCTAGTATTTAGCCAGGCTACTGTTTTCAATGAGTATTACCCACTTCCACCTCGGTCCATTAAACCAGTACCCACAGGGATCAGGAGAGGGTCCAATCTCATCGCAATAGCTGCATATTGGTTGAAGATTTTCGTTGGAGATATTAGCAAAAGCCCAAAAGGAGGCCAGTGTTACACGCACCACGATCTTGGGCTCCAACGCGGGTTCCTCAAATACAGCTACTCAAACTCTGCATCCAAATAAATTGAACGAGATGGAGTCCCCGAACTGTATCAAATCATAATCTTTCTTGTATTCCAAAATCAGCGACGAATAAAGATATAATGAGAAGAATGAGATGGTAATACATAATAAATGTAAAAGATGAAAAGCCAGAACAATCAATCGGCTCGAATTTCACTGAGGATGAAGCCAGTCATCATAGGTCAAGCCACAAAGCATGCATGATCAATGCAAATTTAAAAGTAAAATAAATCTTCATTTAGTGAAGGCACAGCAGACTTTCCCATTACTAGAGGTATGATGATTACGATTTCAAGTCGCTTCCATCCATAAGCCGAACAA